AGCCCTGAGAACATGCCCAAGCACCCTCAGAGTTGCCATGGAGGGCATGGGCCTACCTACAGCTGCAGCAAGCTACTGACCGTGGGGTAGGGAAAGTGTGCTTGGATAGTCTTCTCCCAAGTTTCACTCCACTGACTTGGTGTAGTGTCTGGGATTCTGCCACTAAAGGTTCATACTTTGAGTGAAGGCACTGTACATCTAAGACGGTGACCTGAGCTAAAACTCTGTGTTTCCTTTGATCATATAATGTGTGTGGCATCTCTTCTGTGTGCCTGGCTGGTTAGAGACTTTTACATGTTTTGATTCATTTAATCATCACCACAGGCCTTTGAGGTAGATGATGTTAACTCTCATTTTACAGATCAAACAAACACTGGGGCCAGGAGAAGATAAGTAATCTCCCCAAGGCCACACAGCCAGGAAGCAGCAGAGCTTATGATAGTGTCAGGGCTCTTGACTCCAAAGGACATATTCACTGTACTTTAGTGCTACGAGGGAGCTGGGCAATTATTTAGTCTAGTCCTATTCCCTCCTTTTGCAGATAAGGAAGCCAAGGCCCAGAGTGGGGAGGTGCATGGCCCAAGGTCACACAGCCTATTAGTGGCAGAGCTGGGACCAGAAGGAACCCAGCCTCCAGTTGGTCTCCTGCACAATTCTGCATGACATTAACTCCTTGCCTGGGTCAGTTTACAGGTCCTCTTTCAGACCCAGGACTGGGTCAAGGATTCGCTCAGGAAGGAACAGCCTGGAAAGGAGGCTTGGCAGGTGCCAATAGCATCTGCCCATTGGGCTGGCCCAGGAGACTCAACTCTATTGTCAGCTAGAGCCAGAGGCTTTAGAGGCCTGGTGTCAGGGCAGTACCTCGGATCACTGCCGGCCCACACGACATGGGGGTGGCGACCAGTGAATGAGCCAGAAGTCACCAAGCAGTATCTCTTCCCTCCAGGTTTACCGCTCCAAGATGGATGGCGAGGCCACCAGCCCTCTGCCCCGGACCCGCAGCGGCCCCCTCCCCTCCTCCTCTGGTTCTTCCTCCTCCTCCTCCCAGCTCAGTGTGGCTACCCTGGGCCGTAGCCCCTCCCCAAAGGTCTGAGGGCAGTGGGTGGGGCTGCATGTGTGGCGGGGGATGGTGACTGCTGCACTGGGGAGAGGCCAAGGCCACCTGCCCATGAAAGCCTTGGGGGTGGGGTTGGGTCTTTTGAGTCCCAGGTCCCAATGCTCCATTCCTTCTGCAGAGTGCTCTACTCACCCAGAATGGCACGGGCAGCCTCCCTCGCAACCTGGCAGCCACGCTGCAGGACATTGAGACCAAGCGCCAACTAGCTCTGCAGCAGAAGGGTGAGTCTTTTGAGTCCCATGTCCCAATGCTCCATTCCTTCTGCAGAGTGCTCTACTCACCCAGAATGGCACGGGCAGCCTCCCTCGCAATCTGGCAGCCACGCTGCAGGACATTGAGACCAAGCGCCAACTAGCTCTGCAGCAGAAGGGTGAGTGCCTGCACTGCCAGTCCACCTGCTCTCCTGGGGGACCCTGGGCAGTTGCCACACACACCCCTACCCCATGCTTTATTCATGGCCACATCTTTCACGGGATGTTTTTCCTTTAACTGGGATCTAGGTAAGAGCAGAAAGGATTTAGATAGGACACCTAAAAAAGAGCTTCCTGGATACTTATCAAAGACTCCAAGACAGGGGACTAAGGGCCTGGGGGGGGCTGTACATCCTCTTTCCTAGAGAGCCCAGCAAATAAGGGGACTGCTTGTCGACCTGAGTAGGGTTAGATATTGCCCTATCTGGAGGCAGGGGAATGGATTTGATGACTTCCAGAAATGGTTACCTGCGATAATGGTCTGGGGACCCAGGAGTCCTTGTTGCTTGTGTGCATCTTTTTGTTTCGAAAGCCCATGTCTGTGCTTCTCTCTTCTCTCATCCCCTCTGTGTCTCTACTGTACCCTCTGCCCGGGGCCCCCCATGCCAGTCGAGTTGCTTCCTGCCGAGCCCCTCCCAACCAACGACCCAGCAGGTAGAGTGTTGGTCACTGAGGGCATTGCTTTGGCCAAGCAGCCTCTGCCCCGGCATCAGCATGATGTGCCCTGCCCAGGCCCCCACAGCCTGCAGGTGGGCCCCCAGGCTGAGCTGGGCTGGGGTGTCCGGCTGGCCTCACCCCTTCAGCTGACCTCTCTCCTGCCTTCAGCTGTGCTCTACCTTGTGTCTCCTGCCTCCTTTCCTGCTCTTGCTGCTCTGGCCTCTGCATTGCAGGGGGGTCTGCATTGGCACCCTGGGTGCTCATGGGTCTTCTTCCATTCCTTCCTTCTCCCTTCTCCAGCAGGCGGGGTGGGTGCATGTGTACTACCCACATGTTTAGGCCTCAGTTGTGAGGCAGGTTGGTGCCCTGTGTGGGCTCTAGGTATGGAGAGAGCACTGAAGCCAGACTCCAGTTGTGCAGGCGACTGAAGCACTGGCGGGGCAGCTGTCTGGAGCTGTGGGGGCTTCAGGGAAGCTGGGTGTGGGGAGGGGACTGCCCTGTGTTAACCTATCCCTGCTTGCCTCCTCCCTCTGGCTGTCATGCTGCCAGTGCCCCCTCTCGGGTGGGTAGGCAGCCCACTGTGCCTCCCACCTGTCCCTCCTGTAGGACAGCAGGTGATTGAGGAGCAACGGCGGCGACTGGCTGAACTGAAGCAGAAAGCGGCAGCCGAAGCGCAGTGCCAGTGGGATGCCCTGCACGGGGCAGTGCCCTTCCCACCGGGCCCCTCGGGCTTCCCCCCACTCATGCACCACTCCATCCTGCACCACCTGCCAGCCGGGCGGGAGCGTGGAGAGGAGGGTGAGCATGCCTACGATACGCTGAGCCTGGAGAGCTCCGACAGCATGGAGACCAGCATCTCCACGGGGGGCAACTCGGCCTGCTCCCCCGACAACATGTCCAGGTACTTGCCCTCACCTGGGCCCACCATCTCCTCCGGATGCCTCCTTGGCTTCTTGATGTGCCCCCTCTTTCCCTTTCCCCCAGTGCAAGTGGTCTGGACATGGGGAAGATTGAGGAGATGGAGAAGATGCTGAAAGAGGCTCATGCAGAGAAGAGCCGGCTCATGGAGTCAAGGGTGAGGCTGACCTGGGCCAGAGAAGCAGAAGGTGCTGGGGCCCCAGAGCTGCCCTCGCCTAGCCAGGGCCTGTGCTCCACGCCACGTCCTTTCATCCATATTAGCCTTGCAACATTCTCTTGGTATAGAAAGTATTTTAAAAGGTTGTGTTCATTAAATGGGCATAGGGAGGCTTGGTGAGATTACAGCTTCACAGTTCTTAGGAACAGTAACCACTGTCCAGCCATGAATTTCCTGTATGGGAACTTCCAGTCTGTGTGTTTACTTCTGTGGACTTTTTGACAACCATGGGAATTTTGATTCCGGTCTACCTGCGTGGCCAGTCATTCTTCTTGGGGATAGTTAGGAAAAGCGGGAACTGGGGGTTGAGGTACAGAACAGAAGAGGGGCAGGTGTCCAAGCTGGAGCAGAGGTGTGGGCTGGGAGCTTTGGAGAGCGGCCAGGCTGAGGGAAGTGACAGCTCCCTCAACATGGGCACTGAGCAGGGACTCAGAAGGAGAGACAAGGGGTTTATCCTGGGCATAAGCTGGCTGAGGAAACCTGTGCCCAGGAAGGAGGCTAAATAAAGGATCTGTAGAAGCTGTTCTATCTCCACATCCCAGACACTCTGCATCTCTTCAGTGGAGAGTGGGGCCTGGGAGCAGGAGTCAGCAGCTAGAAGGTTAAGAATTAAGGTGCTGACCATTGGGATGGAGAACCAACCAGGAAAATATGCCTCATCCTTATTTACATCAACATATGACAAATTTTCAAGTGTCTTGGCAAGTGGAAAGAAAGGAGATGCTGCTAAGTTTTGAGCTGGGAAGAAATGACAAATGGGAGGTAATGGCATAGAGGTCTTTATCATTGATTAAGACATAGGAAGCATCACTGACATGCTCTGTATTTAGTGATTTGTTTTAATGACTTAAAATTCTTTTATAATGGCTTTTATAAGTTCAATTGTGACCTTAGTCTCTAATCATGTTTTTTTTCCCATAAAGTTTGAAGTTCAACAACAAATGTTTCTAATTTGGAATTTCAAAGGGCCTTCAACTGGTGATTGGGAAAGGAATACTGAATATATGAGCTGTAAAAAAAATCGTTTAGGTAATCCGTGTTGTAGGAACTTAGATAAAATTATAAGAGCCCCATTTATTTATTGAGTGCTTCTTTCCTGCTGGAATCAGTGATGGGCATTTATATACATGACCTCAATTTTCACTATAATTCCAGGAGTAGGCATTCTTAACCCCATTTTACAGATGAGGCAACTGAGGCTTAGAGACATTAAATGATTTTTTCAGGGCCACAGAGCCCATGGTGGTGGCAGGGCGAGGGTCAGAAGCTAGGACAGTCATGCTTAAAACATTCATCCTGGGTCGGCCCCGTGGCTCACTTGGGGGAGTGTGGCGCTGGTGGCGCCGGGGCCGCCATTTTACAGATGAGGCAACTGAGGCTTAGAGACATTAAATGATTTTTTCAGGGCCACAGAGCCCATGGTGGTGGCAGGGCGAGGGTCGGAAGCTAGGACAGTCATGCTTAAAACATTCATCCTGGGTCGGCCCCGTGGCTCACTTGGGGGAGTGTGGCGCTGGTGGCGCCAGGGCCGCGGGTTCGGATCCTATATAGTATGGCTGGTGTGCTTGCTGGCTGGGTGTGGTGCAGACAACACCGTGCTGAGGGTTGTGATCCCCTTACTGGTCAGAAAAACAAACAAACAAACAAAAAAATTCATCCTTACCCAGCAGGGCTCTTGGAGAGGGTGGGCTTTGAGGGTGATGCCTCCTCATGCCATACTACCCTCTGAGGTGGGTGCCTCCTGCAGCTCTGCCCAGGCCCAAGGAGGGCAGGTGGGGGCATGGGGGGAAGGCGTGGGGGAGAGGGTGGCTGTGGGCACTGACCACTGGCTGTGGGACAGGAGCGGGAGATGGAGCTGCGGCGGCAGGCCCTGGAGGAGGAGCGGCGGAGGCGGGAGCAGGTAGAACGGAGGCTGCAGAGCGAGAGTGCCCGGCGGCAGCAGCTGGTGGAGAAGGAGGTCAAGATGCGGGAGAAACAGTTTTCCCAGGTGAGTGGGTGGTGGGGAGTGGCGGTAGTCGGCTTGAAGGTGAGGGCTGTGGACGAGCAGGGATACCCCAGGGTCCCTCTGCTGGGCTATAAAACCTGTTCTGCTCCAGAGAAGATGGCTTAGCACAAACGGAGTTCTACCTGGGACTTGTCAGCCCCAAGAGATGGAGACCCACTGGGGCTTGGGATCTCCTCCCAGCAGTGACCAGTGATCACAGCTCCCTCATTTCCTATGATGCAACAACATAACTCTAAGGGACAGGCCAGCTAGATTTGGTTTGGGAATTAAGTAATGAGAAACTCTGCGAGTTCTGCCTCTGTGGTTGGAATCTTTGTCCTTTCCTGCCTTTAGAATCCCCTTTCCTGCCTCAGTCACTGACCACCCTGAGACTGTCTCCTCCAGCCCCCTGTTGTGAGGCTCACGCATCACTGTAGAGGCTGCCAGTATGGGGGGTGGGAGGTGGGTGGAGTCAGCCCATCGTGTGTTTTGTTTTTTCTTTAGATTTGTGAGGTTTCCTTTACTTGCCATTTTAATGTTCTTCTGGGAAAGGAAGAGTAGAAAAATATTCCAGCTGACGGAGAATTCTAGTTGGTATCTAAAGTAGCATAGACCTTAGTTATTATCTAGTTCAAACTCCTCATTTTACACATAAGAAAACTGAGGCCCGGAGAGGGGATGTGATCCAAACAAGGTCCCATGAGAAGTCAGAGACCAGGTTTCTTACGGGGCTTTTCTTCCCAAAGCATGTTCAGATCTAGCCTATTGTTTTATTCTGTTCAGCCCAGGAAGGCAAGGAGGGGAAGGGATGAGGCCAGGATGGCGGTGTCTTGGTCATGGGTGGGAGAACTGAGGCATAGAGCCAGCCACTCAGCAGTTTGCCTGGGTTTAGGTGCAGTCAGCACAGGCATGCTAGATTTGCCACAATCCCTGTGAAACCAGAGTGGCAGCCACAGGGGTAGAGAGGGGGTGATGTCATGCTGTTGGGGGTTCAAGACTGATGCCGACGGGGCTGGACAGGGGATGATGGGGGAAGCGAGGAGATTGATGACCTGCCCTCTGCTCCCAGGCACGACCCCTGACCCGCTACCTGCCAATCCGGAAGGAGGACTTTGACCTCAAGACCCATATTGAGTCATCAGGCCACGGGGTTGATACCTGCCTGCACGTGGTACTCAGCAGCAAGGTACCAGGCATGCCTGGCCCCGGGGTCCTAGGGAGAGGGGAACCCCATGGTCAGAGGTACCTCCTGAGTCCTCAGAATAGTGGCCTTGGTTCCTGCCCTAACCTAACCAGGTCTCTGTCCCAGGACCTGGTGTGCTGGCCTGACGCAATGTTGGGGGAAGCCCCCAACAAATACAGGCACAGGCGATGGCACACACTTAAGGAGGCTGCTCGGGAAGAAAGCTTTAGGAGCTGTACATTTGGGTCCTTCCTCACTGCTGCTTCCCACCAGGTCTGCCGTGGCTACTTGGTCAAGATGGGCGGCAAGATTAAATCATGGAAGAAGCGCTGGTTTGTCTTCGACCGGCTCAAGCGCACCCTTTCCTATTATGTGGGTGAGTTCCCACAAGGCTGCCCTGGGGATCAGCCAAAGCCGGGACCCCTAGGCTCTGTCACCCAGGATAGCTGGTCTTCAGGAAGGAGTCCAAGCTTCCAAGTAGGGGCCAGAGGCTTGGGTGGGCTTTGTCTTCCCCTTTCTGGAAAGATACAGAGTGTACCTTGTTCACCCCATTTATATGTTCATTCTTTCATTCATTCATTCAGCAATATTGCTGAGCATCTGATAAGTTCCAGGCATTGTTCTAGGCTCTGGTGATAAACGGAAAGGCCATAGCTCTCTCCCTTGGAGCTTGTTGTCAGGCAGGCAGACATTAAACAAAGAGTTAAACAAAGCATGATGGAAATTCTGATAGGAAACCCAGATGCTGTGGGTGCCTGGGGCCCTATGGCCTGGGTTGGGCTGGGGACTCCCCTGGGGACTGGCCACCTCAGGGACTCCAAGGTAAGCAGTTGAACAGCTCCAGGGAGCACTCAGGACAGCTTAGGGACAGGCCAACTGGCCCATCTTGTTCACTCAGCTTTTTCCACTTCAGCCTCCAGCTTAGTTTCCCATCCCTGGAAACCCCCCTGAACTTTTTCCCACTTGGAGCATGTGATGCTGTGTCATCCCTTAGTCAGGAGAAGCTAGGGTATGCCGTGGTAACAACCAGTCCTAAAATCCCAGTGGCCCAAACTACAAGTTTCCCTTCTTGTTCTCAGTACATGTCTGCTGTGCATTGCGGGTTTGTGGGGCTCTGCTTTGCGGCAGTGTTGTCTTTGCTTCAGAACACGCCTTTCTGGAGCATTGTTGGCCACAGTGGCAGAGGGAGAAGAGAGACTTAAGTGGGCCTTGCATTGGCATTAAATGCCCCAGCTGAGAGGCACACATCTTGTCTGTCCACAATCACTGGTGGGGCCATCCACCAGTCATGCAGCCCCACCCAGCTACAGAGCTGGGAAGAGCAATCCTATTAGGAGCCTGGGAGGGGAAGAGGGCTGCAGGCTTTGGTGCCAGAGATGTCTAGGCCTGGAGTTCCCTGATTTCCCCTCTAACCTGGTCCCTAATCAAGTGCCACCCCCTTCAAGAAGCCTTCCCTGACCACCCTGGGTCCTGGGTATGGGGAGGCAGGAGAGGCAGAGGCACAGGTGTCCCTATATTTCTATCTGGGCTGGAAAGAGTGGGACTTTGTGTGAAGAGGGAGAAACAGGCCCAGGGAGAACAGCTTCATTTTAGACTTGTTGAAGTTGAGATGCGTCTGGGACATCTAGGTATAGAAGGGTCAGGATTAGAGGCAGAGTGAGAGTTGAATCTGTTGGAATGATAGTAATAACCCAGGGAGAACAGCTTCATTTTAGACTTGTTGAAGTTGAGATGCGTCTGGGACATCTACGTATAGAAGGGTCAGGATTAGAGGCAGAGTGAGAGTTGAATCTGTTGGAATGATAGTAATAATAGCAGATCATATTTATTGAGCATTTGTATAGCCAGGTGCTGTCCTAAGTACTCTACAGGCTTCATGTCCCTTAATCTTTGTAATAACCTTATAAGGGAAGCACTATTTTTAGCCCATTTCACAGATGAGGAAAACGGGGCTCAGAGAAGTTAAATAAACTGTCCAAGATCTCACAGTTCCTAAGAGGCAGAGCTAAGACTGAACCTGGGCAGTTAGACCTCAGAGCAGAGGGGAGAGAGAGGGCTGCACCCTAGGGCTGTCTTACCCTTGTGGGGAAGGAGAAAGAGGAGAGACCAGCAAAGGGAGAAGGGGCAGGAGACAGGAAACCAGCACTCACCACGTGCCAGGTGCTGGCCTGGCACTTGGCATACGTGACCTTACTCATGTCTGTGAAACAAAAGAAGACCAAGTTCAGACAGGGGGTGGAAACAGGGAAGGAAGCCAGCCAAAGGAGCAGACATTTGCAAGCAGGAGGTGTCACCAGTGATGATGGATGCTGCAGAAAGGCCAAGAATAATGTGGCCCAAAGGCCATTAGATTTAGGGATTGGAGCTTGTTGAGAGGAGGGTTTCTGCTGTGCTCGGGGGCAGGAGCCAGATTGCACAAGATCGAGGATAGTGGGTGGTAAGGAAGCGGAGGCAGGAGCATGTTACTATTTCCAGTGAAGGAAGGGATGGGAGACAACAGGGACTGGAGGGTGGCAGGGATTGGAGCTTGTTGAGAGGAGGGTTTCTGCTGTGCTCGGGGGCAGGAGCCAGATTGCACAAGATCGAGGATAGTGGGTGGTAAGGAAGCGGAGACAGGAGCATGTTACTATTTCCAGTGAAGGAAGGGATGGGAGACAACAGGGACTGGAGGGTGGCTAGGCCCAGGGGCAGGGTGGAGCTGGGTCCTTGTTCCAAGGAGGAAATGGAGATGGACGTTTGGCTTGCCTGTTGCCCCTGGACCTTCCTCCTGCCTACTCAATGGAAACCCCCCATTGTGCAGGGTACAAATTAGATACTACTTCTATGAAGCCTTTCCTGACCCCACTTTACTAGGAGTGGTTCCCACCCATCTCTGAACTCCTGCATTATCCAGGGTCTTTTCTGCCATGTGACATCAGCCCAAGGACAGATGCTGCATGACATGTGGCAGACACCGTGCTAAGTACTTTGAATGCATTCTCTCGTTTACTACTTATGACAACTATGATGCACAGATGCTCTCATGGAGTTCCCAACGAGGCCTAAGGTCACACAGCCAGTAAAGAGGCTGTGTGTCTGTACTTTCTTCCCCACTAGATTGTGGGTTCCTAAGAGAAGGGTCTCTGACTTCTCTCTGGATCCCATTGCTTAGGACACATTCATTTAACACTCGCTGAGCACCTACTATGTGCCAGGCTCATAGTTGTTGATGTTGGGGGAGGTGGAACTATGAATGGATAAAGGAGGGTTCAGATTCAGCATGATCCGTTCTGCACAGAGGAGCACAATTGTGGACTGTAGTGGTGACATTTGCAGTGGGGCTTGAAGATCACTTAAGAGTTTGCCAGAGGAATGGGACAGAGGAGACTGTTCCAGTGTACGCAGAGCATGTTGTTAAGGAACGGTGAGAAGCTCAGTCTGGCTAGTAGAACTTGGCATCTGTACAGGGGAGGGTTGTAAGGCAAGGCTCGAGGAATGTGTTGGCACCAGTCTGTAAATGGCATTTGCCAAGCCAAGGAGGCAGCTGCTTCCCCAAAGGGGACCAGCAGAGAAGTTTGTGAGCTGAAGTAGCAGGATTAGATTTGTGTTAGGAAGCTTTTCCCTTGGCATTATGGAAGATTACTTGAGGGGCAGAGGCTGGGGCAGGGCGCATCAGGAGCAGTGATGCAGGGGATCTATCAATGGATCAATGACTCAGGTCTGAAATGACCCTGGGGGATGGGAAGAGAAGGAGCACATGGGGACGAGCTTACTTCCAATGGCAACACTGAGTTTAGTGATTGGCGTGACCTCTCCTGCGGGACTCAGGCTTGCTGGTAAGGGTGTCATTGGTAGCGCCTGAGCACTGTTTGTCATAGACACGGTGGCCCAGGCCCTGTGCTTTCCCTTGAGGATGCTCAGAGGGAAAACTACCAAGAGGTCACCTTTGCTCTGGTAGTTTTCCCTCCTCCTTCCTGCCATCACTGACCTCCAGATGATGTATGCTGTGTGTATGTGCTCAGTTCAAGGAAGGGTGCTTCCTTTCTTTTTTTAATTCTAGGTAAATGTATTCATATGGTTCAAAAATCAAAATACATAAAAAGGTTTAAATTGGGAATTATGCCCCCATTAGCTACACTTTTATTAATCTCTTGTGTATCTTTCCAGAGTCTGTAGGCAAACACATGTTCTTACTTTTTTGTACACACAAGGTAGCATACAATACATTTCTTGTTTACCCCTAATGTGTCTTAGCGATCTTTCTATATCAAATATATCTATATCTAGATATCTTATATCTGGATATATTTTATATACTTATTTCAGAATCTCTATCTATATCAGATATTTTTATATCATTCTATTTAAGAGCTATATAGTATTCCGTCATGTGATACACTGCAATTTATTAACCCCTCTCTACTTGAGGGTTACTTGGGTTCTTTCCAATTTGGGGGGACTGTAAACAATGCTACAATGAATAGTCCTGTAAATGTGTTATTTTGTACACATGTAAAATAAATTCTCAAGGTTCTGACCAGTTTGCTCAGTTAGTTGGAGCACAGAATTATAACACCAAAGTCAAGAGTTCAGATCCCTGTACTGGCCAGCTGCCAAAAGAAAAAAAATGCATTCTTGGAAGTGTAATCATTGGATCAAAGAACAAATACCTTTCTAATTTTGATAAACATGGCCAAATTATCCATAAGGATTTTATCAATTTATATTCCCATCTGTTATTTATTAGACTGCCTATCTCTCCACTGACTTGCCGGAAGTGTGATGTATATTTTTTGAACATTTTTTATTATTTGTATATTTTATATGTCTTTGCCATAGGTGAGAAGTGGTCTCTTGATGAAGTTCTAATTTGCATTTCTCTGTAATTATGAGCAAGGCTGAGCATTATCCATATCTTCAGGGTTGTGTTGGGCTCTGTTTTGGGGTCCTGGGAGACTAGGACCATCACCCCATTTCCCAGATGGGGAATCTCAGGCCTGTGGTGTTCCATGTCACTGGAGCTTGACCTGAAGTGTGACAGGCCTCCTCAGCCTGTCCTTATTTCCTTTGCAGACAAGCATGAGACGAAGCTGAAGGGAGTCATCTATTTCCAGGCCATCGAGGAAGTGTACTATGACCACCTGCGCAGTGCAGCTAAGGTTGGGTGGGAGGGTACCCGAGGGGGGCAGGAGGGACAGCTGTGGGGAGTGGGTGGCACAGTGGGGCTCTAGGAGCAAAGGCCTCCGGCCTGCCCTCTGCGGAGGCTCTGACCCAGTCCTTGTCTCTTTGTCAACTTTCTCTTCCTTTCTTCCTTTCCCCTTCCCAGAAGAGGTTTTTCCGCTTCACTGTGGTGACTGAGGTACCCTCCCCACCTAGCTATAACCAGAACTACTGCACATTAACACCTCCTGTACCCCACTCACCTCTGACCCTTGACTCTCCCCTCCTTCCCTGAGGCCTGAGAGAGGAGGTTGCAAAGAGCAGGAACCTCCTGGGACTTGAGTGCCTCCCCCTCCTTGTTGCCTCTTTCTCCTGGAGATGACAGCAGGATGTCTCCCCATGGGGGGTGGGTGATGCAGAAAAGATAGTAAAGGGGGTGGGGGGGCCCCTCAGAAACTAGATTTGGTAGAGTGGAATTAATAAACAGGGGATATCTGAAGCTGGGGCCAGATGCCCTGATGCAAGTCAGCCTCCCTCCCACCAATCTTCTGATGCCCACCCCAGCCCTGATCTCTGCTCCTCGGGTCCCAGGGCTTAACATCCCACTTGTAGCTTTTTCCAGCTGTCCCTTTTTTGCTGAGAGGATGCTCTGGTACTCACTGGAAGAGTCCTTTGTGTCTTACTCTCTTTCTTCCCACTTTTGAACCTAGGGGTGTCAAGTGATAGTGCCCCACCTGGTGGGGTGTGGCCCTGCCAGGGTCCAAGGGGCTTAGAGAGCCCAGGACTGCCATGTTGAGAGAAAGGAAACATTTGAGCCTGGGGTCCACATGGACTGGTAGGGACTAGGCTTTGGGACTATTTAGGACTCAGCCCTAAGTCCCAGGGCTTCCTGGGGCCTGGGGCCTGGGAGGGGAAGGGTCAGACAGGGAGGCAGGTGAGGAGAATGTTCCTGGTCATGAGTGAGCCCTGTCTTAGACCTTTCTCTCTTTCCTTGGCAGAGCCCAAACCCAGCCCTCACCTTCTGCGTGAAGACCCATGACCGGCTGTACTACATGGTGGCCCCATCTGCAGAGGCCATGCGCATCTGGATGGATGTCATTGTCACAGGGGCTGAGGGCTACACTCAGTTCATGAACTGACCATCATGGGCCTCCTCTTGGGCCAAACCCATGCCAGGCCACCTGCCACTCTGCTCACCCCTGGAGAGAGAGTTGCACACTGGGCCTCAGGCCTCAGGGGAGCAGGGCATGGCAGAGAACGACTGGGGCTTTTGTACAAGAAGACTTAGTAATATTCTGTAAGGAGCTTGGTCCTATGAGTTTCTGGGTTCTGGTCCCCTAAAGAACCTGCCAGAAGATGAAAGGTGGGGAGGGGGCTTTATTGCCTCCTGGGAGCCCAGAACTTGCAATAACTCTTCAAGGTCCTGCCTCAGTCCTGGTCAGGGCTGAGGTACGTCACAGGGAGGGCCTCTCAGCTCTGACCTGGCACCTACTCTCCCTAGCCCATTTTCTCTTTTGTAAAGGATGAATTATGGTACCAGAATCTGCCAAAGATCCCCTCTTGCCTCAGCCCCCTTTGCAGGGGCCTTGGGGGCTGAGCAGAGCCCATCCAGGGTGGGGTAACAACAGCTCAGGCAGCGTACTTCTCAAACCCTGCTCTGCCCCATGGTTCTCCTTGTTTATGCTTTTTATTTTGCTCAGGGGCTGGAGACCTCGAGCATCGTCCTTGAGGACCCAGCCCCATGCCTCTATTGCAGACCCATCACCATGGTCACCACAGTGACTGCTTCATTGCCATGGTTACAGACTAATTGCCATGGCTCCAAGACTCAGCCTACTGCTTCAGTTGTGGGCTATCTGAGGGTGCGTGCCATCATCTCTCCAGCCCAGGCCCCTGGGCATCTCACACCGGGAGGAAGGGACTGAACACCTTCTCCCTGCCTCCAGCCTGTATCTCTGGGCCTGCCCACCCCTGAGTACAGCCCTCTCCCTTCCACTTGTGCCTTGCTTAGAGCCAGAAGGGATGAAGCCGGGGGATCTAGAGACCAGAGACCAGAGGACAAGTGATGTGGATAAGAGAGGAGACTAGAACAGCTGTTCTCAGGGTTCTGTACAAGGTTGAGTTTCTGACAGGGAAAGAGGGCTGCTCAGATGCTTCCAGAGGGAAAGGCTGAGCCAGAGAGGAAGCAGCAGTGAGGGAGGCCCTGAGGTGCGGCCCTCTCCCTCCCTTCCTCCAGCCTCAGAAGGGTGATGGAAATGGAGAGTGGAGGAACAGGCCCCCAGCTGCCGGGCCTCAACACTTCACGCCTTAACACTAAGCCCACCTCCCCCGCCCTCCTTCCCAGCACTGGGCCCATGGTTGCCTGGGCCGGGGCTGGGTGTTTTTCAGTATTTGTAAGCATTTCAGCAGAACAATAAAGCATTTGGACTATGTAAGTGTGTGGAAGGCCAGGTGGTGTGGGGTATGGGGCTGGAGCACTTGGGATAGTAGGGCTAGGTCTCCCCCACCCTAGCAGGATTTCCACCCTACTAAAGTTTCCGGGAGGGACCCTCCAAGTCACTACCCTGCCCCCACTCCACTGTGAGCAGAGGACAGGCTGGGAGGTGGGAGGGCTTGAAGAGGCAGGAGAAGGTAGGGCCTGGGGCAGAGGTTTAATGAGGCAGGAGCTGGAGCCAGATGAGGAAGTGAAGGCAGACGACCAGTGAGGCTGTCACTGTGGCAGGAGGCTGAGCAGGAGGAAGTTGGGCAGAAGGGCAGCTGCCAGGCAGTGGGGCTCCAGGAAGGCCAGCTGGGTCCCTGAGCTCAGCCGGTCACCATAGCGGTCCAGGAGCATCAGGGCCACTCCATTGGTCCAGCCAAATCCCTCCTGGAGAGAGGCATGGCCAGTGGGACCAGATCTTGGGGGAAGCCTCCCAGCCCTGTTGGGGGTGGGGGATCTCTACCCAGGGCTGTGGCCCCACCTAGCCCCAGGGATACCAAGGAACCCTAATTATCTCCCCGCTGTGGGCCCACATACAGGGGAGCACCCTGAGGCCCTGGGGAGGGGGGTCATGGGAGTTGTGGGCACAACAGAGCCCAGGAGTTCCCTTTAAGGTGCTGGGCAGCTCACACCTGGCCCTCTCACCTGAACTTCATACTCCCCTCCACAACCTGGCTGTCCACCGTTGCTGATGTCATACTGGGGACCAGAGGACAGGCTAGGTCAGTCACTGCTCCCAAGCTCCTCACCCCACCCCAAGGGAAGCACGCGGAGCTCCCTGGGGAGGAGCTGCAGCTCCGGCCCCTGCAGTGCCCCAGAATGGCCACTGGGCGCCACCACTGTCCTGACTGGGCCTGCCCTGGGCCTTGCAAAGCCTGGCTCTTCCCCACCTCACCATGGGGAGGAGGCCCTGGTGGACGGCAGGATGCTCGGGGACAGCTCACCTTCTCATACATGGCTGACTTCTGGGAGTAGACATCAAAGTTGGTTCGGATCCAATTCTGGGCCAGCTGGAAAGCCACTTCCTGGGTCCGAGGTGAAGGCGACTTGGCCAGGCCTAGACCCCACACCAGGCAGGACCTGAGTCTCTAGAGCCCCAACCCAGGCAGAACAGAGGCCCCAAAGAGGGAAACAGGCCTGGGCCTCCAGACCTCTTTCATGGAACCACAGGCCTATCTTCCCGTAATCCAGGGCCTGGGTTTTGAGGGAGAAGGAGGGCTGATCCCATTGGACAGGTGGGATGGACATGAATGTTTGCTGCGTGGGAGGCCAAGAGAGCAGAGGAGTGAGACAGAGGATACGGGGGCCTTTGTCACATCTCCCCAGTACTACGAAGGCCAGCCCTCTGCCCCACCCCTGCCTCCCTACCTCTGATGACGAAGTCCTGCAGGGGAGCCCAGGCATTGGGGAAGTCCCACTGCTGACCTGTCTCCCGGAGAGAGGTCGGGATCCCATACTGGTAGGTCAGGATCTGGCTGTCCTGGAAGGTTCCAGACTTTACTATGATGGTGGGTGGGCTGGACAGGGAGCCAGGATGCTGGGCCCTCCAGGAAGCCAGATGTCCCCTGCTGGCCTTTCTCTTTTTGGCTCCCAGCTGTCCCCCTGTGGCCCCAGCAGGAGGCAGTGGCTGCCACCTACCAGGCCCCTGCTCAGAGGTAGGAGGGGCAGTCCCACCTCCAGTGTGCCAGACCAGGCCGGCTGTCCCCTCACCTCCAGGTATTTCAGAGCCTTGTCCGTGACAACAGGGTCAGAGAAGCAGCCGGCCCAGAGAGGAGTGAGGTTAGATGGGTAAAATTCTCGGTTTTTCTTGCTGTTCTCAAGGTCAAAGTCGAACCAGGCACCTTTCTCCTCATCCCACAGGACGGCATTCAGGGCAGCCAAGCGCTGTGCCCGCGAGGTTCTGTACTTCGTGGCCTGGGACTCATTGCCTGGGGCAGTGCTGCCTTCAGACAGAGCAGCCAGTGCCCCGCCCTCGGGCCTGTCCTTAGATCACTCTACTTTGGCCTCCCTTTGTGTTCCTCCCCAAGGGCTGAGAAATCCTGAGCATCAAGGGGATTTGCCTACCTGGAGCCCACCACATTTAAGGCTTCTAGGTCCCGGATTTCCTTGAATGAATGGCCCCGTACCATTCCCAGGGCCTACAGTGGCCTGTTCGCTGGGTCCATCCTCCAGAGAGCACTGGCTGTGTGGATCCCCCTAGCTCTGAGGGGGTCAAGGGGCAGCTGAGAAGGAGTGGAGGGAGTTTGGGCGTATGGACCAGGTTGTCCCCTCACAGGCCCTGAAGGCCCTCACAGTAAGAAAGGGACTGGGAGTAGGGAAGACTCCATTTGTCCTGTTGTCCTGGTTCACAAATGTTAGTGCCAACCTCCACTAGGGGAGAATTTGAGAAGCCCTTCACCCCAGGGTCCTACTTCCAGTTCTGCTGGCAAGGCTGAGGCAGCATTCCAAGCTCCACTACCCCTGCCCCTTTACCCCTACCCTGGGGGGTGCTCACCCAGTCTGGAGTAGAACTTGCTCATCAGATCCTCTGCTTGGCACAGGAAAGCATTCAAGTCAACAGGAACCAGTTTGCTGGTACGGATGCTACTGAGCAAGTCGGGGTTTGGGCCTCCAACGAGCCAGCGTGAAGAGAAGTCCCAGCCAGACTCGGCCCCAGCCTTGAGCTCAGCCCACAGAGCTTCCCGCTCCCCTGTGAGGACAGAGCAGGCAGCCCAGCCAGTCCTGGCTGCAGGTTAAGGCAGCAGCAGGTCAGGGCTGACACCATGCTGGTGCCCAGTGCCCTCCCCAACCCTCCCTCACCCTGTGCTGCTCACCTTCTGGCAAGGCGTCTGCCAACTCTGAATCTTTGCTGTAGGACTCTGGCCTGGCAAAGAGGAGAGGTGGGCAGCCTGGCAGTTATAGCACTAAGCCCCTCTTTGCTCAAGCAGGAGGCCACACCGTCTTGACTGAGCTGTCCTCAGGCCCTACAGCCATGGGTTGCTGAGGACTCTCAGTATCACCATCTGAGAAGCCAGGCTAGATTGCTCCCCTCCTGCCCGGGGCATGTGATCCACAAACCAGAGTGAACAGACAAGAGATTGAGGGTGGGCTGGGCAGTTCCTCACCTGGGTCCCCCATAAGGGACGTAATAGCGATTCAGGACATAGCTCTCCCCCTCCAATCTCACAGAGACACTCCTGTTCTGAGTCCAGAAATCCAATTCCAAGGCTAGGGTCTCAATGTTCTCCCTGGGGTGGAGCCAGGCACCACCTCAGCCCAGGCACATGGGCCCACTGCCAGCCTCGGGAGGTCTGAGGTGTGGGGTGGGCTGCAGGGCAGCACAGGGAGGGGTACCCACTGTAAGAAGGTGGTGTCGTTGGTGTGAGTCACGTAGAGATCCATCATGAGAGTCAGGAGTGGAGGCTGGCTTCGCTGCAGGTAGTACACGCGCCCCCCATTGGGGACATGCCCATAGCTGCCAAGAGGGAGGTCTGCTGAGGTACTTCTGCCCAGCAGCTTCAGCCAAGGCAAATCCAGCTGCAAGTCCATGGCATACCTGCTTCTCCTCCACCCCTGGTCTGGAGGAGCCTGGCCCCCTCTTACGTTTTCACCAGGTCCAGGAAGTTCTGCAGCATGCCCTTCACCATCTCAGCCATCTCAGAGAGGAGGAGACCCTCCATCACCCAGTAAGAATCCCTGAAGGAAAGTGCAGCTCAGGCATCACCCCATTGCTGTCCTCTGCCCAGCACACCTAGGCTGTTAGGGCACCCAGTTCTGCTCAGGGCACCCCACTGGCCCTGGGTTCCCCCACCACTGCCAGCCCCTCCAGGCCCCAGCCTCTCGGTCCTGGGCACTCACCAGTAGTAGAACTCGACAAAGCGCCCGCCAGGTACAATGAAAGGGTGTGCCGAGTAGATCAGAGAGAACCGCTCAGGGTGGCTGAGAACCTCTGGCTTCATCTGGAGTCAGGAGAGAGGGCACAAGGGAGCCTAAATCCCAATGGGAGTGGAGGCTGCAAGAGGCTGGGGGTGTGGAGGCCCTGCAGCTCAGACTCTGGAGTCAGGCAGCACGCTCGAGTTCCAGCCCCGCTGCTGCTCAGCTGTGTGGTCAAGGCCCGGCTGCTGGCAGCCTTGGTGTCCTCATCCCCCACGCAGAGGCCAGCTTGATGGAGTGTGGAAGCCCAAACCTCTCAGCCTGGCACCGGGCAGGTGTCCACTGGCTGCTGGCAGCCTTGGTGTCCTCATCTCCCGCGTGCTGGCCTCTGCACTCCCAGGCCAGCTTGATGGAGTGTGGAAGCCCAAACCTCTCAGCCTGGCACCGGGCAGGTGTCCACCAAGCAGCGGCCATTATTAAGACCCAGGTGGGGCTGGCTGGGTGGCTGGGGGTGCTGGGCCCTCATCTCCCCTGCCCGGGCATCCCTGCTGCCACCACCAAGCCAGACCCAGAGGATCAGCGCCACCCCCACCCCCATTCTCTGGCCCAGGTGGGGATGAAACCCCAAGCCCTTTCCCAGGTGAGGTGGATGTGGATGAACGTGGCTGAGGGGGAGCCGCGGGATGACGCTCGAGTTCCAGCCCCGCTGCTGCTCAGCTGTGTGGTAAAGGCCCGGCTGCTGGCAGCCTTGGTGTCCTCATCCCCCACGTGCTGGCCTCTGCACTCCCAGGCCAGTTTGATGGAGTGTGGAAGCCCAAACCTCTCAGCCTGGCATCGGGCAGGTGTCCACCAAGCAGCGGCCATTATTAAGACCCAGGTGGGGCTGGCTGGGTGGCTGGGGGTGCTGGGCCCTCATCTCCCCTGCCCGGGCATCCCTGCTGCCACCACCAAGCCAGACCCAGAGGATCAGCGCCACCCCCACCCCCATTCTCTGGCCCAGGTGGGGATGAAACCCCAAGCCCTTTCCCAGGTGAGGTGGATGTGGATGAACGTGGCTGAGGGGGAGCCGCGGGATGACCAGGCTGGCTGCGTGTGCCCGTCAGGCATTTCCTCTGTTCATTCCCGCTGCTTCTATGTGCACGAGGTTTCAGTGGGGAAAGGTCAGCCTGTCTCAGTCGCTGTGAGGAACAGCAGAGCGGGGCTGTTCCCGCCAGGCACGGCTGCCCCTAGGGCTGGTGAGGAAGGCGCCCGAGAGGAGGTACCTCAGGACTGTGCGGCCGGGCACGGCCTCAGGCGGCAGTGGCAGCAGCAACAGCAGTGGTGGCGCTTATTTTCCTGAGAAAGGGGCCTGGTCCCAGGAGCTCAGGGAAGGGAGAGGCCGAGCAGGCGAGTGGACATTTGCCAGGTGGTGTAAGTGCTGGGCAGCTGGAGGGGGCAGGATGGGCTAGGTTTGCCTGGGGGGAGGCTGGGGAGGTGTGCTGGAGGAAGTGAGGAGTTAGAAGGAAATGTTCCCCTTCTGACCTCAGAAATGCCTTCTATTTAGGGGCTCAGGAGCTGAGGGCCTGTGTTCTTAGGAAAGGAGACCCAATATATGGCCTGGGGGCACTGTGGGCTCCCAAACCAGCACACCCCTCTTCCAGCTCTGGCCCCTTGGCCAGGCCCTGGTGCAGGCCCAGGACACTGATACCTTCTTTCCCAGCTTCTTCCAGAGCCGGTGCAGCTGCCCTGCCCAGGCACGTAGCTTGGTGTCAGATATTTTCTGCAGGAATCTGGGGCTGGAAGAGCACAGGGCCCCACTGGGTTCAGGAAGGCAACCCTGTGCGAATGGCCCTTTCCTGTTCCCTGTACAAAGTGGTACCTGTCTTTCCAGTCTCCAGGGATCCAGGGCTCCAGCTCCTGTCCCACAGCCTGGAAGTGTTCTTGGACAAACACCTGCAGCTGCTGCCAGGGGATGCTGTGGTTGTGGGCCTCAGCTAGCTCCTTGAAGTTCTGCAGGACTTGGTCTGGAGAGCAAGCAGCAGGAAGGGGTCAGCAGGGTTCCATGAGGCCCTTCCTGATCAGAGGGGCCTCTGTCTGGTCTTGCCCCTGCCTTCTTTGGGTAGAAGGTTCAGGATAGGGTGAGGCCCCAGTTGCCTCACCTGGAGTTGTGGACAATGGCATGTCCACAAACTGCTTGTCATCCGGGTAGAGCTTGGCCATCTGAACTTGGTGCAGGAGCTCCCCATGGCAGTAAATCTGGCTGCAGGGAAGGTCAGGGAGGGGATGGGGTCAGGCCATCCCCTCTCTCCCATTAGGACAGAAGAGATAGCTAGAGTTGGGGGCAGACTGGTTAAGGCATGTTCCCTGGGACAGGACAAGGGCTGTGCATGTGCACATGTGTGTGTGTGTGTGTGATGTGTGTGTGTGTGTGTGTGTGTGTGTGTGTGTCTGCATGTGTGCATGTGTTTGTATGTGTGTTTGTGGTAGGGGTTTGTGGGTGGTAGTGACACACAGGACTGAGAGAACAAGCAGGGTCTCTGTGCAGTAAAGGACCTATACAATTGTCTGAGCCCATACCAGTTGTTAATTTCACACTGTGTAGAATATCTGGTAAGGGCTCATGCCACTGGCAGCAACGGAGCCAGCCTGACACCCGCCCTGGGTACCTGAGAGATGGGCCGTGGGCCTCAGCCCCACCCTTGCTGCCACACATTCAGGCCAGCAACAGACTCAGTCTGACACCCAGGATCCTGAGTCAGGGTCTGGGACAGCCCTGCCCTGCCTGCAACCAGATCCCAGAATGTACTTATTAACCATGTGTGTTTCTTTGGAGTGTGTGACTTACCTGCTCATGTCCTTCACCAAATTTCTGCTTAGATTTTTCTAATTCATTTTTAAGAGCTCTTTTTGTAATAAGGATGTTAAACTTTGTGTGTTAAAAAAAAAAAAAGAGAGAGAGAGAGTAGAATAATGGTTACTAGAGGCTGGGAGGGGTGCAGGGGAAGATTGGGGTGAACTCATGGGGACAAAACTATGCTATCTACCCCAAGGGAATCACTGTGCAGACTATGCATGTATTGAAACAACACACCGTACCTCACAAAAAAAATATATATATAAATAATATTGAATTAAAAAAATAGAAAGAATACCTGGTGAACAAAAGGAGATTAGCACCTTAACCAGTGCCATTTTAGAAGCTAGAGTGATGGTATGGACCAGTAGCCCTATGTCGACCAGATCAGAAGGGCTTATGGAAAAAGCCTGTGAGGTGCACGCAGTGGTGATTGCTGAGATTTGGGACCAGAAAATTTCCAGGTTCAGTGTATGGTATGTGCCACTTGAGAGACAATTCCTAGCTTACTCTCGGTGTTCATTGAACCTGCCTCCATGTCTGCAGGACACAGATTAATCCTGAACCCTAAAATGCCCATAATGTAGTGGGTGATGTTAGAGAAACAGTCTGATAAAAAAGGCAGTGCCCAGAAATGATAAAATGGAAATGATTTGTTCAGGAACATGGAGCTCAGGGAGGCCAAGGAGGTGCTCATCATATTGAGGAGCAGGTACCCTCCTTTTCTTTAGGGCCAACTTTGGAAGCACCCAAGGAGCTGGTGAATCCTCTTGCCACCCAGTAGGGCCCTATGAACAGCTCTCAATTGACAACTAAAAGCTGCTTGGTATAGAGTGTACAGACGGTCTTGTTCAGAAGGCTACTGTACTCTGATTGATGGAAAATCTTTGAGGAAGGTAAGAACAAATCAGCTCAGTGGACTGTACTTCATGCTGTTTTCCTTGCAGTGATAGAAGAATTGAATGATAAAAACCCCTTTGTTTGACTTTTTATTGACTCCTAGGCAGTGAAAAACTGAGCTATTAAAAGGATGTCCACATGGGGCATAACGCTATGGAAATCACTATGAAAATTTAAGGGGTACATTAAAGTAGCTTTGCCTACGTAGTTGTAGATGCAAATGCCCCCAATACTACAAAACACTATATTGGAACAGAAGCTACTGCACCGTTCCATTTCTTCGGATCAAGGAATACAGTTTACAGCCCATAGTGCTGAACAACGGGCCAAGCAATATCACATCAAACAGACATATCATGTTGCATATCATTCGCAGAGTACTGGTCTGATAGAAAATCAGAACAGGCAATTAGAACATTTGTTGTCTAAAATGGGGAGATAAAAGCATGCAGCTTACAGGCCTTCACTAGGATGTGCTCACACTTAGCAGGGAGGCAGGGCAGAGGGAGCGTCCCACTGGATAGATTCCTCTGCTTTTCTGGGGGTTCTGGGGGAGAGGGTCGGGGGAGTTTGCTGGTATGACTATACAACTTTTCCCCACATCATCTCAACTGTTTCTTCCCTATCTGATACAGTGGTCCCAGGATTAGGGCTACAACTGTGTGTGTCAGAAGCAGGGATGATTCCCAAGCAGGAAACTGTTACTATATCTTTAAACCTTTATGTGAGGGTTCCTAAGGGCCTGATGGGGTGTGCTGTGCCTTCGCCCTAGCTGGCTACATTGGGGTCGTCAGTGAATGCAGCCGTGTGGCTTAGTGGTCGAGTTAGCTCACCAGCTCTGCACCTTGAATGGGAGTGGACTGACGGCAGGCACTTGCTAGGCTAGTATTGCTCCTGGCAAGCTGGATAAGCACAGCGACCAAACCTAATATCCTTTCCAATGGTGGAAAAGTCTGATAGAAATCAATGACAAATGGAGAGAAGGAGAAATAGTAGCTGAGGGTAAAAGAATGAATAAGTGGGTTATACAAGAAAAATCCAACATCATGTTGGTGCCTGAAGAGGGACTTGGAACAGGAGAATATTGTCTCTTAGCATGATTATACCAGATGCCTGAAAGGGGAAAGCCACCCAGTTGCCAAGACTACTCCGGTTTTGGAACCTGACAAGGTCGAATGGCAGCCTGCAAACCTGAGTGGCACAGCTCTGGGAGACATTTTGGTCATATGACGTGATGATGAGCTGGACTCATTGTCGACAACTGAATGAAACTCTAGCAATGTGCCTGAGCCTTTTGACTCTTAGTTTTCAGGTTACATCTACCACAACAGATGTCACTTGGTACAACTGAATGAAACTAGCAATGTGCCAAAGAGTCCCCTTTTGACTCTTAGTTTTCAGGTTACATCTACCACAACAGATGTCACTTGGAAAGCAGTTTCCAGGAACTACTCCCCACCAGGCCTTTGAACTGCGTGGTTTACAACTCCTGGCAGATGAATCAGGGTAACTGTAAACCTTAATAATCAAATGCTGGTTATAATGGACAAAATAGAGTATGGCTAACATGCCATGTGTGCTGTATGTGCAAAGGCAGATCTCCCTTGTTTTTGTGGACAGAAAGCTATTAAACAGAAGAGAAAAAATTAGGTTTTCTATGCACCGTCCGGGAACCTGCTGGCCAGAGCCCACCTGCCCTCTCACTCTTTCTCCAATCTCCACTCTGAACTGTGCAGGGCTCTTCTCAGGATTGTTCTACAAACCTTCTGCCCGTTACTAGAGTCCCATTTTCCAT